TAATAATAATAATAATAATAATAATAATAATAATAATAATAATAATAATAATAATAATAATAATAATAATAATAATAATAATAATAATAATAATAATAATAATAATAATAATAATAATAATAATAATAATAATCATAATAACAATCATAATAATCATAATAACAATCATAATAATCATAACGATAATCATAATAATGCGCACAGTGATAAGTACAATCACAATCACAACAGTAATAATCACAATCATAATCATAAGCGTAAGCAGAAGCATAGTCATAATCACAATAATAATAACAATCATAACCATGATTACAATAATAATAATAATGATAATGATAATAACAGTAATAACGATAGTAATGATAACCATGATAATGACAATAGTAATCACAGACATTAATTAATATATGAGTAAAGATCAAATCCGCAATTACCAAAAAAGCTGTGAAACTTGTAGCAGATAATCAATCAGAACAATGATGTCCAGTCTAAACTGATATATTACTTTATACAGTCATCCAGAAGTCTTACCTTATCAGCTTTTTGAAAGGCTAATAAAAAATGGTCAACTTTGAGCTAAGCTAAAGGAATTATCCTCATAAATCAATTACAGTGAGGGAAATCAAATTCAAGAATAATCTTCAGATGCTTCGTAAAGTTGATCATAATAGTGAAACAGTAAGACCATGTTTTAGTACGATAAAAGTACCTTAAAAATTCTATAAAATATAGCACCATGAAAAATTACTAATCTTTAAAAATGTCATCCACTACGGTTTTTACAATGAATCTAACAAACAACGTTAATCGAATGAGGAAGTTACTCCAATAAAAAGATTACAATCTCATTGCACCCGAACTTTATGATAAATAATTGAAATACTGAAATACCAAAAGATATCAAGTTGAAATAAAAATAAATGAATATTAAAATAAAATATTTTAAAAGATATTCGGACATTTGGACCAGTCACCAATTTTCTTCTTCTCCCAGTATTCACCGGTAAATATGTGTATCAAAGTACCCGTTTCTTCATGTTGATCTTTTTTGAACCATAACGGTTTATATTCTTCAAATGGTTCACCTGAAGCAGACTTCACTACATTGTATCATTCACTGTAATTTTCAGAGTAAAAAATGAGCAATCTTCAAAGAATATTGAGCTCTCCTAACAACCAATAAAATATTTTTAGTTCATTACAAACAGAGCATCGTCTCTATCACTGAATCTTAATCTTAAAAGAGATCTGAAAGAGGAGTCAATCTCACTACAAACAAGACCGACGTAAGAACTGCATTTAACTTTCAGAGGAATTTCTTCACACGTTAAATACCTTTCCCAACAATCGCGATATAATCGGAATTAAGAAATGGTACTGTATTTTGGAAGAAATTAGAAAAAAGTAAGAAATTTATCAAAGGAATTTAAAAATGAAGCAAAAAGACAACGAAAAAGAGGAACTGGTAATGAAAACCCGCCGCACAGATAAACACACACAAGCACATATATACATATATATATATATATATATAAATATATACATATATATACATATATGCATATATATATATACCATGCTTGAAATAATTTGTAATGCTGCAGTGATAAGAAGTACCTCTTTGCAAAGCTTTTTGCGCTAAAATTTCCCGCTCTCGACGAACGGCACGCTGCTTCTCCTCAATTTTTACTTTCATTTCATTTGCTTCATTCCACTTTCCATCTTCCATTAATCGCTGATCAGGACGAAGTCGTGAATCTGTTGGAGCTACACCTTCTTCTGGTTCATTCAACTCAATTGCTAACTTTGTGAAGTAATACATCTTCTCACCATTTTCTCTGAAGTCATGGTCACAAATAGTTGAGAAAGAAAAAGCAAAAAAACGAGAAAAGTACTTCAAAATTACAGAAATTAGATAACAAATTGTAACATATTAGCCCCAAAATGAGTGTTTACATTAAATTGTAACAGTTCCACTGAACATTAGAGGATCAAGTCACTTTGTCCCTGAAATTGCGATTTTTGAAGCGACTTTCAACAAACACTTTGAAACAGCTCCCATTTTGAAAAAAACGACGAAAAAATCGAAAGTAAAAGTGGGTTTTCTGTAATTAACATACATTGGTGAATTGATCGTCCAGATACGACTTGGTGCATCCGTCTCAAATCGTGCACTATCACCAGTATTAACTTCATTTGTGACCTTAAGAATATCCAAATGGCTATCCCAGATGCCCTGGATAAGCCAGTGGACCTCTCCAACTGGATTTTTTACGAAACCAGCTATCTTCAACAACAGTAAATTCAGCAGTATAATTTTCTTGAAACTGACAGAAGCAAGAATGATTTTAATACTAAAGAAGTAAACCTTTCCTAATTACACATACTTGCTTCTTATTTATAGTGTCAACCACAAAAACGATACTCAATAATCTATCATCTTCGCCTCACTTGAACAACTCAATTAACTGCACTGCAGTATTTTTTTAACACCAACCTAATATAACTCATTGCAATAAAAAGATAATTTAAAAGCCTTCTGAATCAATTAGTCACTTTTTTTAATTTACAAAATATGGATTGTAAAAACATGTTCTCGAAAGAAACTTAACCTTTCGCGGAGGTTCACGTGAGAAATAGCTATAGGGATGGAATTTCAATACACATTTATCACCAGTTTTGTGATTTTCAATCAACATCTCACCGTGATTATCTATCCACAGCTTGCCTACGATGATGTTATGTACAGTGGTAGTTACTTTCTTATATGAATATTCATTTCCACTATCCAGAAACTGAAACAAAGAGATGTTCACTATCAACGATTTTTTAGCACAAATCCAGGAAAATTACATCAGATACCAATCACCAATCAGTCTCTTTGAATGAGTAATTTAAATCACTTGCAATCGACAATAATCGGCCAAGAACAAATAATAAAAACTTTGTCATTATAGGAAAAGGGATCTCAGTAACCTGAAAATCCGGCATTTCATATTTCAAATTAATACTAATTAACCTTAACATATGTATAACCGGTAGGTGTTACCGATAAATATTTTCCACGAAAACGTGACGTCATTGAGAAATCTTGATGCAGTGTCCATTTATGGCCATCAGCATGATGTGCTGTTATTGGTGGATGATGGCTTACCTGAAAATTTTATCGAAACTGCCTGTTCATTGTATCGTATTTGTACAGACGAAGCTTGGAAAGTTACCCATCATACCATCTCCCTTAAATGTCATCTGAAGTCAAGAAGAAATATCTGGTCACATAAAGTATGATTCTATTTTGATTTGAGTAGGCAAGATCAGAAACAAATTTATACCCACCTGTTCGGCAAAAGAGCGCCAACCAAGATCATCAAATCGATCACATTCAAATGTTTCACCGAGTAACGGATTGAAAGGTTTTGTCGTACGATAACCCGTTGTTGAGTATGCACTGACTGCAAATGCCGCCACAAAGCACATCTGCTCTACTGAATCTGTCTTTTCTGCTCCTTCATCTAATAAATAAGAATATTCCAGATCTTCGGAAATCCTTTGTAGAACAGAAAGTGGCTCGTTAAAATTCACCTGTAATCATAAGGCGAAAAAATGATGGATTTGTATTACTACTGCAGAAAACTGCTTAGGATTATAGAATGATTACTTGGGTCATATTCAGGAAAGTTCGAGTCAAACTATTCTCAGCGGAGTATGCATAGAAAAAAGGGCACAAATATAAGCATGATAATTTTAATCGTTTATTGTTTATTACACAACGGATGCTTTTCCTTCCTACTCATTATAACCTCTTGGATCAGCACAACTTTCTGGATATCCTACAGCTAACTGTTAAATATTGTTTCCTTCCAAGCAGCCTATCAGTTTAAAAATTAACAAACAGGCATCGGAATTTTGCTCAATTCCTTGCCAATGCAATTGCGCATAATGGACCACAAACTGATGGAAGTTTGTGGTCTCTCGGGTATTTTGGTACGGTGCTGCCGTGAATGTTGGGTTCCTGGACTGCAACGGGCTAATCTCGTTT